AAGGAGGTTCGGAGATCTGCTAAGATTGACCAAACTCGACGAGAAAATCTCGAGCGGCAGTTGGGAAGCTATTCGGAGATATTGTCGCCCACAGCCGAACCCACAAGGAAGGCCGCGAAATTTGGATGGCAGGCTGGTGGACAGCAAGGAGCGCGCTGACGCCATGGCAACTTTCTTGGAACAAGTGCAATGGAGAGTACGCTTTGCAGAGGCGACGGACAGCGTCCCCCTGGGGCCTGGACTGCCAGTGTCCGAAGTTCCGTTCGCAAGCCAAGAAGTTGGCAAAGCTATGAGCAAACTGGAGTGGAAAAAAGCTTTCGGGCCTGACGACGTCCCGGCGGAATGCTGGAAGGCTGTTTCGACAACGCCGGGAGGGTTAGAATGGCTCACGGCACTGTGCAACGCCTGTTTGGAGCCAGAGGAGATGTCGACACAATGGCAGCTGGCGGCGATTAGCACCATCTACAAACGCAAGGGAGCAGTTGACCAGTGCGACAACTATCGGCCGATCAGCTTGGCAGTACAAGCTGTTTGCGAGCCTCTTGTTGGGCCGACTGCAGGCCGCTGGCGCCGACGAGCGACTGACTCGAACGCAATTCGGCTTCCGGCGGGGGAGAGGCACGACAGATGCTATTTACGCCGTCAGGAGGTTCACCGACCGTGCCACTGCCGAGAAGGACGGGGCCATCGCGATGGCCGCCTTCGACTGGAAGAAGGCTTTCGACTCCATCATCGTTGAAGCGATGGGCGAAGCTCTTCGGCGTATCTGCGCGGATGCTGTCAGTCATCATTTACAAGCGCCGGAGACTCGATGGGGCCGACAGTGGACGACATTCTCCGGAAAAGCGGCAACTGTCTGGAATTTCGTTGAGGTGCCTATTGTCGCCTTGTTTTTTCGTCGTGATGATGTCGGTAGTCGTGGAAGACGCCATCAACAATTTTGACGATGTGACGAAGGAGGCGCATGACACAGGTGTTTTGTCACTATTGCTTTACACCGATGACGCGCTTCTAATTGGGAGGCATCAGTCCCATGTAAAACGGCTTATGGATGAAGTAGCAGCAGCAGGAGCCCGTGTGGGCATGGAGCTATGCTGAGTCTACTGCGACGTTGACATGCGGACCCCGTCAGGGGCGATAATAGAAGCCGCAGATCACATGGTCTATCTGGGAACAACTTTTTGTAATTCTGGCCGCCTTCGTGGCGAACTCAGCCAGCGCACAGGGGCCGCTTGGGGGGAGTTCTCCACATGCGAAAGAGCATGGCAGCACGCGTCGGTCTCTAGATCCAGGAAGCTTGAGATTTTTCAAGCGATGGCAAGATTGTTTATTATTTGGGTTCTGCGTGGCTGAATAAATCAGAGAGGCGGCGCTTGGATGGCTTCCAGGCAAGATGCGTCAGGCGGGTCCTGAACATTGCCCCAGCCAATTCTTCGCGCGTCTCAAACAGGAGCGTCCTCGAGGCAGCCGGCCAGGCCACGTGCAGCGCGGAGCTATTGAGACACCAACGCGCATGGCATGGGAAGTTGGGGAGGGCCGACGACCACGACATTCTGAGGGAGCTGCCCCTGCAACCGGGGGCAATGTTGCCTGCTGCGGCGCAACTCCACAGGGGCAGAGGCCGGCCGAGGAGCGATTGGGCCACGCCTTTGCATCAGAAAGTTCACAGCTTTTTTGGGTCTAGCGAGATGTCATTTGCTCGCGTACAAGATGAGCGTCGGTGGAAGGGGGTTCGTCGATAACAACATCAACGATTTCTGATGCTTGCGATCCCTGGCAGGCGCTCCCACTGATTAATCCACTCGATGTCATTCACATTGCTTCTGTCTTCTCCCGCCTCGTCCTGTTTTCTCCTCTTTTTTCCTCTTCCTTGCAGTTCGAGCTGTGCTGAGCTTGTTTTCCCGCCCACGCGCCGGACGGCGGATGTCTTGAGTGAGTGAGTGAACCTTGTCGTGTGTTTTGGAGAGGTCGAGCAGGGAAAGAGAGAGAGAGAGAGAGAGAGAAGGACATGCCAGTGCCTCCTCCTCCTCCTCTTCCTCCTCCTCCCTTCGCCCTCCTGGATCCTCCTCCTCCTCCTCCTTACCGTGTGCTCGCTGCTGCTGCTGGTGCTCCTCCTCCTCTTCTTCCTCCTCCTCCTCCCCCAGGGGGATCCTGGTGCCGAAGGGCTTGGCTCTCGGCTTTCCTGCAGCCATCCTGAGCTTGGAGGTGCTTCAGTGCGCCGCGCCGAGGACCCTCGGGCAGAGCAGCTCCTGGGCACTCCCGATTGAGCCTGCTCAGTCGATTGTCCAAGGGCTGCGCATCGGCACGAGGTTTGGGCGCATCATGGTATACTATGTACTTGATAGGATATGTTCGGCTCATCCTCGGATGGGACACCGCATCTGGGTGGACGACCTGGCCCAACGTGCAGTCGGATCTCGCGCTCAGGTACGGCAGCAGCTTATTTCCAGTTTGAAGGAGACGTGTCAAGGCTTGGCTTCGATGAAATTGCGTGTTGCCAGTAAGAGTATTGTTATGTGTTCTCACCGTCCCGACGCGGTCAAGGTAGCCAGAGCCCTTCGTCTTGCAGGATTTCACGTCCGCGCTGAACGTTTTACAGGATACCTGGGGTCGGACCTTGGATGTGGCAGGCGGCACGTTCGCACTACGCGAAGGAAAAGAGACACCAAGCACAAGACCATGAACTCCAGAGTGCGGCGCCTTGCTCAGGCAGGGCGCAAGTATGCGGTATCCTCCAGGCTTGAGCGCTTGGGAGCTCAGGCGGCAGGGGCGTACGGCTTCCAGATCCACGGGGTCTTCGGGGTGCACATGCACAATACAGGCAGCGCTTAGGCGCGGCCATCTCTGCTCCCTCCCGAGGGCGCTGCCTCACGACGCTGCTTGCGATCAAGGCGCCCGTGGACCCAGCGCTGAAGATGCCTGAAGAATGTCTTCGCATTTGGTTTAAAGTTTGGCAGACCGTTCCCGATATTCGTCCAGGGGTTTCTCGTGTGTGGTCCTCGCTGGTCGAGAAGTTCAGAGGTATTCCGTCAGGACAACGATCTCGGCACATACGAGGACCAGTTTCAGCCATTATCAATCTTCTCCTGAATCTAGGGTGGGATCCTGTTTCCGCCACAGACTGGACCAGGCCAGCCGAGTCCGCAGGAGGTGAGACAATCGAATGGCATGTTCCTGATCATGTTTGGGAAGGCTGGCCTGACGTGGACGATCCAGGTGGACTGGTACGTGATATTCAGTATTCCATATCTCGGAAAATATGGCGTAACGCGGCTCAGCATTTTTGCGGAGGAGGCTTGGAGGAGGGTGTTGAATGTACTTCATTTCGTCGCCTTCACGCCCGGCTGTTGAGTTTGGATCGCGGTAGTCGGTTGTCAGAGCTGCTTGTCACTATAGCGGCAGGGGCCTCGTGGCCTCGGGTCCGTCGGGCCGAGGCTGCTGCAGCCAAGGGTTTAGTCATTGATCAGCTTTGCCCACGTTGCGGGCAGGAGAAGGAATGTCAATTTCATCGCATCTGGGGTTGCTCGCACAACACGGGAGCTCCAGCGTATGCCCACTCCGAGTGTCTGGTACAAGAGGCCTACACCAATTGGGAGTCGGCTGAGTGTTTCTGGCTACGGGGGCTGCTGCCGTCAAATTGGATTTCCATTCCCCAGCCAGACGAGGAGGAGCTTTGGTTCACGTCAGGGCACTCGAACGAGGAGGACTCGGTTTGGCTGGGCACAGGCACCTGGCAGCAGCCCTTGTACCTCTTTGGCGACGCCAGTGGCGGCAAGTATTCGATTGATTCGAGGTTCAGACGCGTGGGCCTATCGGTGTGCACCGTGTCCTGCTTCGAGCCGCTGGTGGTGCACAAGACAGTCTCGGGGGCCCTGACTGGGCATCGCCAGTCGGTGCCGCGAGGTGAGCTACGTGCGCTCCTCCTTGCAACAGAATGTTCATCAGGCTTTGTTGTTTTCACTACCGACAATCAGAATGTGGCCAACGGATGGGCCGAACGGCGCTACCAGGAGCCAGAAGGTGTTGACGCGGATCTTTGGCACCGCATAGGTGTGCAGTTCAGGCAGAGAGACCCCGCCTCATTTGTGGTGTTATTCGTCAACTCACATCTCGAGGCCTGCGACGTCATGACCCGACGATTCTCCCGGTGGATGATCTTGGGAAATACTGTTGCAGACGAGCTCGCCCACGCTGCCGCTGCCAGGTGCCAAGTACCCGAGGATGTTGTGTATCGTGTTGCGACGTGGAAAAAGAAGGCGTTTTTGGTCCGACTACGTCTTCTCAGGGCCACGGTCGACACGCTAGAGCGAGAGAAGGAGCTGCGGGGGCCTGGCCCCAGGAAAAAATATGAGCCCCCTCCTGTTCCTCCTCCCGCCCCGTCTGTTGTGCAAATATTCTCCACCAATCACCGTCTGGCCGAGTGCGGCCGAAGATGCCTCACGTGCTGCTCTTCCGCCACGATTGCCCGTCAGTCTGTGTAGCGGGACACGCCCTGTTTCCCGCCTTCATACATCAATGGCGAGGTCTTCGGGGTGCCGTCGGGGGCTCGGCTGCACATCGCTGGGGGGTGGGTGCATGAAACACACACGATGCGTCTGCACGGTACTCTAAGGTTCTGGTTATGTTCGAACTGCGGGTATTTTGCTAGTCAGGTGATCAGAGGCCTGGGACAACCGTGTCCCAAGGCTTCGAATCCCAATCGAGCCGAGTGTTTATCCAGAATCGCTAATGGGCAATGGCCCAAGGTTCGGAATCGGGCTGAGCTCACTCGTCCGTCGGGGTTCCTCGGTCTTTCGGATTCGCTTCGCGACTGGTCTCACTCACCCTCCTCCTCCTCCTCCTCCCTCCTCCCCCCCTCCTTTTCCTCCTCCTCCCTCCTCCACCCCCTCTTCCCCTCTCCTCTTTCTTTCCTCCCTCCTCGGCGTGTAAAAGTTTGCATAGCACATGGCGAGAATCCCTCTCCTCCCTTCCTCACCTCCCCGCCCCCCCCCCCCCCTCAGGTCATCGGCCTGAGCGGGGAGCACTTGCAGGACGTCGAGGTCGGGCCCCGCGGCCTGGTTTCCGAAGCCAAGCGCGCGCTCGCTCCGCGGGCGGGCGCGCCTCCCAGGCGGCCTCGTCGTCGTCGTCGTCGTCATGGTCGTGGTCGTGGTCGTGGTCGTGGTCGTTGTGGTGGTGGTGGTGGTCGTCGTCGTCGTCGTTGCCGTCGCCGCCACCACTGTCGTCGTCGCCGTCGTCGTTCGAGCTGCGACGCTTCAGGGACGAGGCTCTCTGGGCCCTTCCTGGGGCTCCGGGTTGAGCGTCGAAAAAGCGGCCTTCCAGGATCCGGGGTGTTGTTGCCGTTGATCCTCCCAGCGGAGGGAGTTCGGTAATGCTTCCAGGAAGCTCGGCCTCGTCGTCCTCACTCCGAGACGGGTAGGTATGGCAGGCTGGGCATTTCGCCTGAGATTTTCTCACCGTTTATGATCTTGACACTTACACTGTTGCAAGGGCTCCACGGATGGAGGGCGGGTTGTCTTCAAACTGTTGTTCTCGTTTGAGCGCCGCGCACATTCGTTTCAATGTTTTCCAGGGTTCCACGGATGGACGGTGAACCATCCTACAAACAAATGTTATCGCTTTATTGCCGCGCACATTCGCCTTACAAGTCAGCAGGGGCTTCACGGACGGAGGACGGTTCGTTTTCAAAGTGTGGCTCTCCCTCAAGCGCCGCGCAAATTCGTTTCACAAGTTCGCAAGAGTCTCACCGATGGAGGGCGGTTCCTTTTCCAAATGTGGCTTTCGCCTTAGCGCCGCGCACATTCGTGTCAAGAGATTGCAGCAGTTTCAAGAATTCTTGTGGCTGACTTCCCAGAAATTAGTATTGAATCGCTTCGCTCATTCCGCCGGCCCGTATTGTGCCATCGCGGGGTCTTGGGGGGTCTTGGGGGCCTTTGGAAGCTTCGTGGGAGCTTCTTGGGGACTTTGGGAGGCCTCGTGGATGGCTCTGGGTGGGCCCTCTTGGTGGTCTCTTGGGGGGGTCTGCCTGGCCTCTTGGGGACCTCCTGGGAGCTTCCTGGGGGTCTTTTGGGGGCCTCTTGGGGCTTTCTTGCGGCCTGTTGGGGGCCTCTTGGGGCTCTCTTGGGGGCTTCGTGGGGCTACTTGGGGGCTTGTAGGGGCATTTCGGGGGCGTGTTTGGGCGGGAGGCTCAAAATTTCCGTTCAGGTTGCCCCTGTGGACCTCAATCATGGGGCCGTCTTGGGGCCTCTTGGACCGTCTTGAGGGTTTCTTGGGCCTTCTTGGAGCGCTGTTGGGCCGTCTTTGAGCGGTCTTGAGGGTCTCTCGGGCCGTCTTGGGGTGATCTTGGGGGCCTCTTGGACCGCCTTGAAAGATGTGAAAGACGAAGAGGCGGATATGTTAAAAATGCACGCTTTCCTAAGGGAATGAGACGATTTTTGCTTGTGGGAGCCCTCTTGGGACGCCGCTTAGGGACCTCTTGGGGCGTCTTGAAGGCCTGTTGGGCCGTCTTGAGGCCATCGTAGGCGTTTGGGAGTGATATTTCGGCGTCTCCCGGCTCTCTTGGACCGTCTGGAGGGCTTCTCGGGCCCCTCTTGGACCGATTTGGAGCCCTCCTGGGCTCCGAAAAATAGTTCTTGAGGGTTTCTTGGGCCTTCTTGGAGCGCTCTTGGGCCGTCTTTGAGCGGTCTTGAGGGTCTCTCGGGCCGTCTTGGGGTGATCTTGGAGGCCTCTTGGACCGCCTTGAAAGGTGTGAAAGACGAAGAGGCGGATATGTTACAAATGCACGTTTTCCTAAGGGAATGGGACGATTTTTGCTTGTGGGAGCCCTCTTGGGACGCCGCTTAGGGACCTCTTGGGGCGTCTTGAAGGCCTGTTGGGCCGTCTTGAGGCCATCGTAGGCGTTTGGGAGTGATATTTCGGCGTCTCCTGGCTCTCTTGGACCGTCTGGAGGGCTTCTCGGGCCCCTCTTGGACCGATTTGGAGTCCTCCTGGGCTCCGAAAAAGAGTTCTTGAGGGTTTCTTGGGCCTTCTTGGAGCGCTCTTGGGCCGTCTTTGAGCGGTCTAGAGGGTCTCTCGGGCCGTCTTGGGGTGATCTTGGGGGCCTCTTGGACCGCCTTGAAAGATGTGAAAGACGAAGAGGCGGATATGTTAAAAATGCACGTTTTCCTAAGGGAATGGGACGATTTTTGCTTGTGGGAGCCCTCTTGGGGCGCCGCTTAGGGACCTCTTGGGGCGTCTTGAAGGCCTGTTGGGCCGTCTTGAGGCCATCGCAGGCGTTTGGGAGTGATATTTCGGCGTCTCCCGGCACTCTTGGACCGTCTGGAGGGCTTGCCGGGACCTTGCCGGGACCTTGCCGGGACCTTGCCGGGACCTTGCCGGGACCTTGCCGGGACCTTGCCAGGACCTTGCCGGGACCTTGCCGGGACCTTGCCGGGACCTTGCCAGGACCTTGCCGGGACCTTGCTGGGACCTTGCCAGGGTACTTTTCGTCTGGGGACCCCCAGGGCCCGCCCCGCGCGCGCGAACTAGAAATATTGTTGAGCAGTTACCGGAGATCTTAGCACGCCTCTGGCCCGTTGGGCCGGCGAATTTGACACGATGTAGGATTGTCAGGGCGCAGCAGTGACGTTGACTTGCGGTGTTGCAGTCCGAGGAAAGGTGTTCTGGCACGGTTCAAAATCTTCTGGATGCAACAGTAACGTTGGTTCGCGGCGTTGAAGTCCCATGAATGGTGTTCTGGCACGGTTCAAAATTTCAGACGGTTGTCTTCCAACGGGGCTAGTCGTCTCTCAGTGAGCTGAATCTTTGTAGGGACCTATGAAGAGCGAGCTTGGAGGGAGGGTTGATTGCAACATCGTCGACGAGTCTTGGGTTTGCACTGGTCCTCGTCCTCCTCCCCCTCCTCCTCCTCCTCCTCCTCCTCCCGCTTCTCTTCCTTTTCTTCCCCATCCTCCCCTTCCTCTTACCCCTCCTGGCCCTCCGCCCTTTGGGGGGCGCCGATGTTTCCTGGGGAGCCCAGACTGTTGGCGACCCGAAAAGTCGCTCCGGGAGGCTCTTCGCCCGTCTCGGCGTCGCCCGGGGCCGTTACCGCCCCCCCTCCCCAGGTTCCCCTATAGTGCCAAAAGCGTGAGGCCGAGGTGAGTGGGCAGGTAAATCATTGGTGTCATCTTGTTGCTGCATGTTGGCTAGATTTTCAGGCGAGGCCCGAGGCGGCCCAACGGCCCACAGGCAGTTGCCAAGATCGCCCGCGCTCCCCAGGTTTAGCCCCTCTTTCCAGCCCTCGGAGAGAAAATTCAACGCAGGATGTCGGTCCAACCCCCTCCGCCTATTAATCCCTCTTGAATCCACAAGAAGAGCCATCCAGTCCAGGGGAGGAACAGGAAACGGGGAGAGGAGGGAGGAGGGGAGGGCTGGAGGCCCGAGAAGTTTGGGCTGGGAAGACAGACGGGGCGCAAGAGCACCATGCCCACTCACCCCCCTCCACTGTCGAGGCACCTGCGCCTCGTCTTCGAGGGGCGCGAGCTCCGTGATGAGAACACCGTCGACGAGGAGGGCCTCCCTGATGTGGCGCGCGTGAGCCTTGCACCCCGGGGCGACGTCATGGGCGCAGAGTTAAGATGCAGAAGGAAAGACCTCAGCGGTCATGGGGGCTCCAGGGCATTTCCTCAAGTCGATGTCCGCTTCTCTGTGATCTCATGCTGGAAGGGACGGATGAGTCATGGGCGCAGAGCTGCGATGCAGAGACCGCGGTGGTCATGGGAGCTCGTGTGGATTTCCTGGAGACGATGTCCGTTTTTCTGTCTCCCCATGCTGGATGGGGACGGATGTGGGGGCACAGGGGTCTGGACTGGAAGTGCGCCTCCAGATGTTTCCCCGCCCTACTTTTGACCTTGACGCGGAGTCACCGTGACTGAGTCACCAAGAAAATCACAATGCATTGATGGAGTTTATCTTGCGAGCTCGCGTCATCCTGGCCCCCCTGGCACGCGAGGAAGTGGGGCCCCCAATCGTGCCCCCTGGCGCCAGACACGGGGAATTGGCCAGGATTGGCGGGGCTGGCCGGGCGGGCCCTGCACTGGCGATTTCGAAGGTTTTCACAAATCTGCGCCAGGACTCATCACCAAAAAGGCCCCCAGAGGGCAGGTGAGGAAGGGGAGAAGGGAGAGGGGCGGGGGGGGGGCGTGGAGGGGGGAGGTGACTGAGGAATGGTGGGGCAGGGGTGCTATAATGAAACATTTCGATCGTTCGCAGGGTAACAGACCATTACAATAGCTGATTCCTGGCGTCGCCCCTGAGGTACGAAGCCTTCCCGAGTTCGTGTCTCTCCTCGCCATCAAGGAGGCTGGCATCCCAGAAGTCCTGGGTCCGCCGATCGTGGCTCGAAGTTCACACAATCGATTGGGATTTCGGTGATCGATCGGGCTGCCGATCTTCGCCGTTTTCCTCGCCCTGGGCTTGATCGGGCTGGCCAGATCGGCATCGGGATCAGCAGGCCTTGGATCGGCCCGGTTTCGAGGGGGGCCTCAGGACGACCCGCTGCTCGTGCGCTTCCTGCTCGATGCGAAGGCCTGGCCTGCCGGGTATGCGCGCCGTCCTCGGTGCACCCCTCGTCATCGCTGTCCGCCCTTCAGCTCTCGTGGTCCTTGGAGCTCTTGCTGCATTATCGAGTGTCTTTGGTCGAGCTCTCCAGGGCCCTCCAGAGGCCTCTGCGGAGGTCACCCCTGGAGGCCTCCCTGAGAACTCGGCAGGGTCACCGCCGGCCCGCAGAGCCACTGCGCCGAGACCCTCGGGAAGCGATGAGTGTCCACACCTGGGTGCCACGGAGGGTTGTCCGCCGGCGGGGGGCCGGGGCACGGTGGGGGAGACGCTTTTCTCCGAGCCCCCTTTGGCGGCGGCGCGCACAAGGGGGTAGGGGGGAGGGGGGGGAGGCTTCTCAGAAGGAGGCGGACGCCTTCCCCCCTCCCCCACCCCCCTTTGCGCGTGGCTGACCTCTGGAAGCTCTCTTTCTGAGGCTCTCGAGGCTCCCTGCTGCCCTCCCGATGACACCTTCGTGGCAGCCCGAGGGTTCACAGCAGCCGCAAGACCAGAGCGCGGAGTCTCGGACACCCTCGAGGGGGGAAGGAATGACGATGATGATGATGCTGATGATGATGATGATGCTGCTGCTGATGATAATGATATTGATGATGATGATGATGATGATGATGATGATGATGATGATGATGATGATGATGATGATGATGATGATGATGATGATGATGACGATGGTGATGGTGATGCTGACGATGCTGATGCTGATGCTGATGCTGATGCTGATGCTGATGCTGATGATGATGATGATGCTGATGATGCTGATGCTGATAATGATGATGATGATGCTGATGCTCATGCTGATGATGCTGATGATGTTGATGATGTTGATGATGATCATGATGATGATGCTGATGCTCATGCTGGTGCTGATGGTGGTGCTAGTGATGATGATGGTGATGGTCTTGGTGCAAGTGATGGTGATGGTGATGATTATGATACTGACCATGATTATCATGATACTAATGCTGATGCTGATGCTGATGCTGATGCTGATGCTGATGATCAATATGCTGATGATGATACTGATGATGCCGATGCTGATGCTGATGGTGATGATTATGATGATGATGGTGTTGATGCTGATGCTGCTGATGATGATGATGACGGTGGTGGTGATGGTGACGACGAATGTGATGGTGATGATGCTGATAATGCTGATGCTGATGATGATGCTGATGATGATGACCATGATGATGACGGTGATGGTGATCGGGATGGTGATGTTGATGATGATTATTATGCTGAGACTGAGGCTGATGATGATGAGGAGGATGATGCTGATGATGATGACGATGCTGATGATGATGCTGATGATGATGATGATGATATTGATGATGATGCTGATGATGATGAAGATGAAGATGAAGATGAAGATGAAGATGATGATGATGATGATGATGATGATGATGATGATGATGATGATGATGATGATGATGATGATGATGATGATGATGATGATGATGATGATGATGATGATGATGATGATGATGAGGGGATGAGGGATGAGGGGATGAGGGAGTGCGGGGATGAGGGATGAGGGAATGAGGGGATGAGGGGGGATGAGGGGATGATGCTGATGCTCATGCTGATGCTGATGATGATGATGATGATGATGATGATGATGATGATGAGGAGGAGGAGGAGGAGGAGGAGGAGAGGAGGAGGAGGAGGAGGAGGAGCAGGAGCAGGAGCAGGAGCAGGAGCAGAGGAGCAGGCAGGAGCAGGAGGAGGAGGAGGAGGAGGAGGGGAAAACGGGAACAGAGGAGGAGGAGGAGGAGGAGGAGGAGGAGGAGGAGGAGGAGGAGGAGGAGGAGGAGGGGGAGGAGGATCAGGAGGGAGGGGGAAATATCCTTTTTTGAGAGCGTCGCCCGATAAAGATTTGGAAGGCAGACCCCAACGAGCGCGACGAGCGTGGCTGGACAGCGCTCCACTGGGCCTCGTTCAGGGGGCACTCGAACGTGGGTGCCGGGCTGATAGAGCTTCCAGAGTTCACGTCCGTGAACGCGCAGGACAGCTGCTCGAGGTGTGAGGACCGAGGTTTGGGGCCGTTTTGGGTAGGTTGTGCCGGCCTTTCCTGGGTCCCTGGAGGCCTCTGGGACCCAGCGGGGACCTACGAAGGCTTCTGGAGGCCTCACGTCGCCCGAGAGGACCCGACACTTGCATGAACTTCCCCAGAGGAGGAACATGATCAGAGTGCCGTGGAAAGACTTCCAGAGTGGACCTCGAAGCTCAGTTTGGGAGGCTCTGGACCCTTTCGGGGCCGCTGCAGGACATCGGCAGGATGACAGCCCTGCTGTTCTTCGCGCAGCACGGCCAGCTGGACCTCTGCGAGAGGCTGGCGGGGCGGGCCGACTTCTCGGCGGCGCGCCTGGGCTGGGAAGGCGGTGCTGAGAGGCCTTCTATATCTTCGGAGGAGGCTCAGAGAGCTTCTCAGAAGGCCGGAGGCCTTCCAAGCCTTCTGAGAAGGCCCGCCCCCTCAGACTTCCCCCCCTGGGCTCGCCGCCGAACTTCGCGAAGCTGAACGCGCGGTCCGTCAACGGCAACACGGCCCTGCACTGGGCCGCCAGGAACGGCCATGCAGCGGTTTGCGAGGGCCTGCTCGCCATGCCAGGGTTCACAGCGGTGATCTGGGTCAATGTTTCGGGCAGTCGGTAACGTAGGATCAACAAACGTAGGGGAAGCGAGGACGGCAGGAAATGAGCCCTAAGGGCCTTTGTTGGCCCCTGAAGGGGCCCCTTGGGCCCCAAAAGTGGCCCTCTAGGGCCCCAAGGGTGCTTCTTTTTCTACCCTACGCTGCTTGGCAATCAGCGTGCCTCCTACAATCAGACTGCCCCCTGTAATCAAGACGCTGAAGTGAAGAACAGCTCGGGCTCGGAAGGGGCTCGTTGCTCCTTGAGTCATGCCATGGCTGTTCCTCCACCGCTCCCTGTGCGCTCCGGGGCGTCGGGGGCCAGAAAGGGGCCTCGTTCCGTGTTCTGCGTTCCTTCAGGTAGCAGCCCGACTGTGCGTTGCCTGCCGCCCGAATGTGGGGGGGGGATCGACTCAGTTCAGGGGGAATGTATCGACCCCCGACAGCCCGCCCCGCCGAGGAACGTGCGATTTCGCTATCGGGGGCCTATCGCAGATCGATTGGCGACGTATCGCCGATTTTGGGTCGATGCTCCCCCCCCCCTGAGCGGCCCCCCCCTGATGCTGTTCTCAGGTGAACGACCAGAACGTGCACGGGTGGACGGCGCTGCACTACGCCGCCGCTGCCGGCCTGCTCTCCGTCTGCGAGAAGCTGCTGGAGCTCAGGGGAGGACAAGGTATCGAAACCGCTGCTCGTCCTGGAGGGTCTTCGGCGCCAGAACGCACGCCCGGAAAGGCCTGGGAGCCTCATCGGTATCTTTTTGCCCCCCCCCCAGGAGCACCCGTCCTTCGCGGCCATCTCCGCGCTCACGAACGACCGCGAGACCGCGCTCCACTGGGCGGCGCTCAACGGCAGGCTCGAGGTCTGCAGGCTGCTCGCGGACCAGATCGACGCCCGCGCGGTGGACGTGGAGGGTATTCGGGCGGCGAGAGTCAGATGCAACGGAGGGTGACATAGAGAACCCCCACCCTGCCGAGACGACTGGCGAACTGCCTTCTTGAGGGCCTGCGGGCACACTCGTTGTGGTTCTGCGACCGCCGGGTCTGGTGGTCCTGTCGCTTGCTCTGGGTGGCGTTTGCGAAAGAGGGTTCTGTCAACTCCCGATGCACATGAGCTAATCCTGGCCAGGCCGATCCTGGTCCTGGGATCGGTGCGTGCCTCCCGAGGTAGGGGTGGGGCCTCCGGGCTGATCACGGCCTGCCCCCCCCCCTGGGGGGGTGGGGGTCCCTGGGGCCCATCCAATCTGTTTTAGGAGGGAGGCGTAGGAACCCTGGACCCTGTACACATCATATGCCTCTCTGTCCAGGCCAGGAGTGCGTGTGCACCGATCCTGGGCTCAGAATGTGCCTGGCCAGGATCGGTGCATGTTCATACGGTACGTTTGCGCCGCGTTGACGCAGCGTCGACAACAGCGCGGGCGTTCAAGGGTGAACGCTGCCAGTGGCCCAGAATCGGCCGACGTAGAACGCTCCGCGCTATCGGAAAGCCGCGCTCGCCCAGGGCTGACCGATCCACGGTGCGCGAGAGACCAGCGCCGACGACGTCCCGATACGAACTCGCCGCACGTGCACAGCACTGCTCCTTCCCTAGCTCACTCCAGCGGGCGCGAAGCTGACCGCGCTTCCCGCTCCGCGGTCTGGGCCAGGGGGGCGCCCTTCTCCAGGAGGGGCGGCGCGTGGGCGCGAGGGCGAGGAGATCAATCGCGCGTCGCGCATCGCATCGCAGGTAGTCACCACCCACCAAGCCACCCCAACCCAGCCCGAAGGCTCCAATCGGCCCTCCATTCCCAGTAGGGAGGGGGGGCGTCGGGAATGTTGAGCAACAAGCGTATGGAACCCGCACCCCGCCCAACCCGAAATTTGGGTCTTCGGGTTGGGTGTGGGTGGTCTGGTACAGTCAACCCGCATAGTAAGGATAGGCAACCTTCCCAAGGGTACCCTCGCATCCTTGCCTCCTCGGTCCATCCTTCGCCGCTCTTGCTGGCCGCGCCCCGCTCGAGAAGCTTCGAAATGGGCGCCCAAGGCCCTTGCATCCTTATCGCGCATCCTTACTCTACTGTTTGACTGTAGGCAGCCAGGTATCCTCGCCGTCGACGGCGCCAGGATCAACGGCCACGCGGCCGTCTGCGCCTTCCTGGAGCCGCACGCCCCCGGCGGCAGCGAGGGGCCCGCCGGGCCGCGCGCGCCCTCGGAGGGAGGCGAGCCTCTGAGCCGGGAGGACGCCCGCGGCGCGGGCACGGGCGCTGGCACGAAACCGGCAGCCCCGAGTGCCGAGGCGGGGATCTGTCCTCAACTCGAGGGAAAAAAACGCCACGAGCAGAAAGTTTTGGTGCTGCGCGCGCGGATTTCTTGGATCCGCGCTGGGCCCCCCCCCGGCGGCGCCTTCAGCGCCGTTCCCCCGGCGCGCTCCGCGCGCCAGGGAGGGGGGCCCAGCGCAGATCCAAGAAATCCGCGCGGAGCGCCAAAACTTTCTGTTTATTGAATCGCTTCGCTCATTCCGCCGGCCCGTGATATGGCATCGCTGGTTTTTGTCTGTGTGTTCGTTGCCCATGTTGCGCTCTTGGGGGCGGGTGTCGTTCGGACGCGTTGCGTGGGGAGTTTTGATGGTGAAGCAGTTCCCTGGGGGTCGTCTCTCGATGGGGCGAAATAGAGTCGTCGTCAAGATGCTTCTTTGGGGGGCCTCTTGGGGTCTGTTGAGAGGCCGTTCGGGGGCGCCTGGGAGACATGTTTGAAGCCTTCTGGGGCTTCTTTTGGGCCTCCTGGGAGTCTCCTGGGGCCTCTTGGCGACATCTTGGGGCCTCTTGGAGGCCTCTTGGGGCCTCTTTGGGACCTCCTGGGCGCCTTCTGGGACGGAGGGCTCCATTTTTGAGTTCTCGGTATCCCTCCTGAGTCCCTCTTGGGCCCGTCTTGGGGCCTCTTGGTCCGTCTTGGGCGGCACTTGGGCCGTCTTGAGGGCTCTCTTGGGTCGTTTCGGCGCCGTCTTGGGAGCTTCGTGGGCCGTCTTGGAGCGGTCTTGGGGGCCTCTTGGGCCGTCTTGGAGCGTCCGGAAGCCGAAAAAGCCAGAACACAAAAAACATCGAAAAAACAATGAAAATCAACGATTTTGGCCTCTTGGGGCTCTCTTCGGAGGCCTCTTGGAAGGCTCTTGGGGCGTCTTGGAGGCCTCTTGGGCTGTCTTGGGGGCCTTTTGGGCCGTCTTGGGGTCATCTTCGGCGTCTTCGAGCGCTCTTTGGGCGTCTCGGGGGCCTCTTGGGCAGTCTTGGGGGCCTCTTGGGGCACTCTGAGCGCGCTCTGGGGAGCCTGAGAGGCCGCACCCAGAAGGAAAACCATCTCTGAGTAGACTTGGTCGGGCGGCGGTCGGGCGGCGGTCGGGCGGCGGGCGTTGGTCGGGGTACTTTTCGCCGGGGGACCCCCAGGGGCCGCCCCGCGCGCGCGAACTAGAAATACTGTTAATACTGTTAACCAGTTACCGGAGATCTTAGCACGCCCTGGCCCGTTGGGCCGGCGAATTCCCTACCTAGGCTCCGCCTAGAAGGGTTCTTACTCTATATGCTGAAAGGGCCGGGCAGTGAAACTTGCCCAGGGCGATTCCCCCAGGATCCGCCCCGCGGTTCCCCCAGTGACGTCCCCTGAGCTTAGCGTTGCTTATCTCACCTTAGCTCAGCCTAGCTTAGCTTAGCTTAGCTTAGCTTCATCTTAGCTTCGCTTAGCATAGCATATCATAGCACAGCCCAGCATAGCATAGCATAGCGCAGCATAGCATAGCATATCATAGCATAGCATAGCATAGCATATCATAGCGCAGCATAGTACAGCATAGCATTGCATAGCGCAGCATAACATAACATACCATAGCCTAGCATAACATAGCGCGGCCTAGCGTAGCATAGCATAGCGCAGCATAGCGCAGCATAGCATAGTATAACATAGCATAGCATAGCATAGTACAGCAAAGCGTCCCACGACCAGCACTAGAGGCCGAGGTCCCTGCAAGACGTCCCTCGATTTGCACGTAGTGGCCGAGGTCCCTAGCGTCCAACGACATGCACTAGTGGCGGAGGTGCCTACCAAGCGTCCCACGACGAGACCGTAGAGGCCAAGGTCACTACAAAAGCAAATGCAAAACCAAGCAAAAGCAAAGCAAACGCAACAGGTTTAGCTTAGCTTAGCTTAACTAAGCTACAGCAACAGCAGCAGCAAAGCAAAGCACTAGCAACGCAAAGCAAAGCAAAGCAAAAGCAAAAGCAAAGGAAAGGCAAAGCAATAGCAATATGCAACAGTACGATCAGAGAGCCCACCCGGTGAGCGAATGCAAAAACATGCGTGTGCGTGTGTGTGAAGGCAAAGCAAAAGCAAAACCAAGCACAAGCAAAAACAAGCAAAAGCAAAGGCAACTACGACGATGAGGAGAAGGAGGAGGACGGCGTTTACAGTTACTACTAATGCTGCGTTCCCAGGGGCTCCAACTCCTAGGTAGGGTCGCACTGGGGTAATGTTTTTTGATTCTTCTTCTTCTCATAACCACCGCGCAGGGGATCGATCTTCGGGTGCCTTTTTGTAGGCTGTGGATATGGATACATTCGGGCTCCCTCCCTGGGGCCAAAGCGTGGCCATGTCCACCGCCCGCTGGGGTCCCAGGACGTCGGTTCCACAGGCGCTGGGTATGGATACATCCACACCGCCACGACAACGGCAGCCCCAAATCAGGGGCCGCCACGAGTGTGCGAAGTCATTCGCGGCTCACGGCTCGCGACTCATCATCCTCATCCTCATCTTTTTTCCCAAACAGCTTGCTGAACGGGGTGCTGTTGTGATGGAAGCTAACTCCGGCCGAGGGAAGCCGGAGCAGAGACATCCTCACAAATCTGAAGGTCCGGGCCGTTTCGCTTGAGACATCCTCACAACTCTCGTTTCTGAGTTGGCCGGGATTGGCCGTTTCGCCTGAGACATCCTCGAAAAGTTGCGCTCCGGGACGCCGCGCGAGAGGTGGTCCGGGCCGTTTCGCTTGAGACATCCTCGAAACTCTGAGCCCCGAGGTGCCGTGCGAGAGGTGGTCCGGGCCGTTTCGCCTGAGACATCCTCGAAACTCTGAGCTCTGAGATGCCTTGCGCGAGGTGGTCCGGCCCGTTTCGCCTGAGACATCCTCGAAACTCTGACCTCGGAGATGCCGCGCGAGAGGTGGTCCGGCCCGTTTCGCCTGAGACATCCTTGAATTTCTGAGCTCTGAGATGCCCTGCGCGAGGTGGTCCGGCCCGTCTTGCCTGAGACATCCTCGCAACTCTGAGCTCTGAGATGCCGTGCGCAAGGTGGTGCGGCCTGTTTCGCACAAGACATTCTCGCTTTCTGAGCTCCCAGATGCCGCGCAAGAGGTGGCCCAGCCTGGGGGCCCAGAAGATCACATATTACATATCCTCCCTGGGACCCTGGGAACCCGCCTGAGACATCCTCGAACTTCTGAGCTCTAAGATGCCCTGCGCGAGGTGGTCCAGCCCGTCTCGCCTGAGACATCCTCGCAACTCTGAGCTCTGAGATGCCGTGCGCAAGGTGGTGCGGCCTGTTTCGCACAAGACATTCTCGCAACTCTGAGCTCCCAGATGCCGCGCAAGAGGTGGCCCAGCCTGGGGGCCCAGAGGACCACATGTTACATATCCGCCCTGGGACCCTGGGAGCCCCAGGAGGCCCCAGAGAGCTCCAGGAGGCCGCAGGACGCTCAGGACAGTCCCCAGGAGATTCCCAGGAGGCTCCCAGGAGGCCCCAGGAGGCCCCCTATCAGAACGTGTCAAGTTAATACACATGCGGTGTCGATTCGTTGATTTTTCCTGCTCTTGTGCCCCCCTCCATTTTGAGGGGCCGAAGCAACCACAGGTTAGATGTCCCTCCTGGGAGCCCCAAGAGGCTTCAGGAAGCCCCAGGTGGAGTTCAGAGGAGGCCCCAGGAGGCACCAGGAGGCCCCCGCAACTCGGAGCTCTGAGACGCCGCGCTCGAGGTGGTCCGGCCCGTTTCGCCTGAGACTTCCTCGCAGCACGTTTCGCCCGAGACATCGTCGCAACTCTGGGGTCCGAGATGCCGCGCGCGAGGTGGTCCAGCCCGTTAAGCTGGAGACATCCTCGCAACTCTAGGCTCCGAGATGCCGTTCGGGATGAGGAGGAGGTGGAGGAGGAGGAGGAGGAGGAGGAGGAGGAGAAGGAGAAGGAGATGGAAGGGAGAAGGAGGAGGCGGATGATGTGAATGAGGGAGCAGGCAGGAGGAGGGGGAGGAGGAGGAGGAGGAGGAGGGAGAAGGAAGGGAGTTGCAGGAGAGGACCTGAGCTCCAAGATGTCGCTCGCGAGGTGGTCCGGCCCGTTTCGATTGAGCCATCCTCGCAATGCGAGGCTCGAAGATGTTGCGCGCGAGATGGTCAGGCCCGTTCTGCCTGAGACGTTTCGTAGCACAGGGGCTCCAATCACAACCTCTCTCATTCCTTCTCCCGCCTCCCTCTTCCCACTTCCCGCCTGGCTCCTCTTCCCTCCTCCCTCCTCCCGCCTCCCGCCTCCCGCTGCTGCGCCTCTGCCTCCGCCTCCCGGTCCCCGCCGTCGTCGTTTCTGCCGCCTCAATATCCGTCATGCGCGCACTGCCTTCCGCCCTCCCCAGACATCCGACGTCACGATTTTTCCCCAAACAGCTTGCTGAACGGGGTGCTGTTGTGATAGAAGCTAAGGGCCGTTTCGCTTGAGACATCCTCACAACTCTCGTTTCTGAGTTGGCCGGGATTGGCCGTTTCGCCTGAGACATCCTCGAAAAGTTGCGCTCCGGGACGCCGCGCGAGAGGTGGTCCGGGCCGTTTCGCTTGAGAGATCCTCGAAACTCTGAGCCCCGAGGTGCCATGCGAGAGGTGGTCCGGGCTGTTTCGCCTGAGACATCCTCGAAACTCTGAGCTCTGAGATGCCTTGCGCGAGGTGGTCCGGCCCGTTTCGCCTGAGACATCCTCGAAACTCTGACCTCGGAGATGCCGCGCGAGAGGTGGTCCGGCCCGTTTCGCCTGAGACATCCTCGAACTTCTGAGCTCTGAGATGTCCTGCGCGAGGTGGTCTGGCCCGTCTCGCCTGAGACATCCTCGCAACTCTGAGCTCTGAGATGCCGTGCGCAAGGTGGTGCGGCCTGTTTCGCACAAGACATTCTCGCTTTCTGAGCTCCCAGATGCCGCGCAAGAGGTGGCCCAGCCTGGGGGCCCAGAAGACCACATGTTACATATCCTCCCTGGGACCCAGGAGGCTCCCAGGAGGCCCCAGGAGGCCCCCTATCAGAACGTGTCAAGTTAATACGCATGCGGTGTCGATTCGTTGATTTGTCCTGCTCTTGTGCCCCCCCCTCTCCATTTTGAGGGGCCCAAGCGGCCACAGGTTAGATATCCCCCCTGGGAGCCCCAAGAGGCTTCAGGAAGCCCCAGGTGGAGTTCAGGAGGCCACAGGAGGCCCAGGAGGAAGCCCCAGGAGGTCCCCAGGAGGCCCCAGGAGGCACCAGGAGGCCCCCGCAACTCGGAGCTCTGAGACGCCGCGCTCGAGGTGGTCCGGCCCGTTTCGCCTGAGACTTCCTCGCAGCACGTTTCGCCCGAGACATCGTCGCAACTCTGGGGTCCGAGATGCCGCGCGCGAGGTGGTCCAGCCCGTTACGCTGGAGACATCCTCGCAACTCTAGGCTCCGAGATGCCGTTCGGGATGAGGGGGAGGTGGAGGAGGAGGAGGAGGAGGAGGAGAAGGAGATGGAAGGGAGAAGGAGGAGGCGGATGATGTGAACGAGGGAGCAGGCAGGAGGAGGAGGAGGAGGAGGACAAGTTAGGTGCGCTCGCGTCAACATCTGACATCCTACCCCTCCCTCCCATCCCTTACCATGGCGCTGATTTTCTCTATCCGCGGACGCGTGTCGTAGCGGACCTGTGGCTCCGCGCGCGTGTGCGTAGTGGGTGGTGGTGCGCGTGCGTGCGTGCGTGTGTGCGTGGTTGTGGTTGTTGTGGTGGTGGTGTGTATGTGTGTGTGTGTGTGCGTGTGTGCGCGTGTGCTGTGGTGTGACGTGGTGTGGCGTCTTGGTAGTTTGGTGGTGAGCCAGGTGCGTACGTGCGTGATGGCGGTCGTGGTGGTGGCGGTGGTGTGTGTGTGTGTGTGTGTCTGTGTGTGCGTGTGTGTGTGTGTGTGTGTGTGTGTGTGCGTGTGTATGTGTGTACGTGCGTGCGTGTGTGTCTGTGTGTGCGCGCGTGTGATGTGGTGTGACGCGGTGTAGCGTGGTGGTGGTGGGTGGGGTAGTGCGGTGGTGGTGGCGGTGCGCGGTGGTGGTGCGCGTGCGTGCGTGCGTGCGCTGGTGGGTGGAAGTGGCGGTGGGTGTGCGTGCGGCGGGGCGGGGCCTGGTGCGGCGCGGTGGTGGCGGGCGGATGGGCGCGCGAGAAAGAGGCCCGCGCTGGGGCGAGAACGCCATCCTGAACGACGGAGGCAAAACACCGATCCGAAAATGAGGCCCACGCTGCAGCGGGAACGCGATTCGGAACGATTCGGGAGCAGAAATGAGGCCGGCGCCTCAGCGAGAGCAGCATTTTGAAAAAAAACGCAGGCGAAAACCCAACAGCCAGGAATCCTGTGTACAAAAAACAATACGCGGGGGGGGGTCGAATATTCCCAGCACGCCATCAGGGGAAGAGGGAGAGTAGTATTCATATTGAGTAATTGTGGAGGAGGAGGGAGAAGGAAGGGAGTTGCAGGAGACGACCTAACGGGAAGCGAGTGTGACGTGGACTTGTCAGAACGTGTGCGAGAGGTTGTCCTGCCCGTTTCGTTTGGGACATCCTTCCAACACTGAGCTCCAAGATGTCGCTCGCGAGGTGGTCCGGCCCGTTTCGATTGAGCCATCCTCACAATGCGAGGCTCGAAGATGTTGCGCGCGAGATGGTCTGGCCCGTTTTGCTTGAGACGTTTCGTAGCACAGGGGCTCCAATCACAACCTCTCTCATTCCTTCTCCCGCCTCCCTCTTCCCACTTCCTGCCTGGCTCCTCTTCCCTCTTTCCTCCTCCCGCCTCCCGCCTCCCGCTGCTGCGCCTCTGCTTCCGCTTCCCCGTCCCCGCCGTCGTCGTTTACGCCGCCTCAGCATCCGTCATGCGCGCACTGCCTTCCGCCCTCCCCAGACATCCGACGTTACGACTTTTCTTTTGAGACGTGCGCAGCGTACCTCTCGATATCATCCCCTGGGGAACCATCGCGACATGCTCCCCCGCTGCCGCGCCCTCCCCCGCTTCCTCTTACAGTTGCTTCCGAGTTCACAGCATGGCGGCGGAGCCTTTCACAGTGCCGACGACCCGACAGCTTACTCGTCGACCAGGTGCGAGAGAGTACGACACCCTCGAGCGTTAGCTTCCTGATAGGTATGCGTCACACAAGTTTCCGGGCAAACATCTCATGTGCAAACATCATGTAATCATGTTCTACCATGCCATGCCAGTCCGCATTGGACGGGCACGCAATCGACCTTGGAAACCGCAGTGGGTCTAAAAACCTTGTTTGGGGATACTGCACTCCGGCTATTTTTTTTTTTCTCCGGGGGGGCGGCGCGAGCGCGCGAAGTCATTCGTGCTTGGCGCGTCGCGCAGCAGGAAGCGCGTACCCAGCTGCCCTTGCCAAGCTCTATTCCTGGCATCGCCCTCGCAGAGGATCGAGACATTGCACCTCGGACGTAGAGGCACTCTTGATAGGGAAGAGCACGTCCAGGACGGAGGGACAACCGCCGATCCTCTGGGCCCTGTCCGTCCTGCCCTCGGGCAGAGGGGGTGGGCACACCTCCAACGCCACTTGCCGCCTCTTGTCCATGTCTATCTCTCCCGTGTGCCGAGCACGGCCTGGCATGCTCTCGACAGTGCGTGTGTCGCGAGCGGCGTGTCGTTGCCACGTGGTTCCGTCAGTTTGCAAGGTTGCTTCTGGGGGGATGACCGTGTGCAGCCACTGATCGAACATGTGCTGCCGAGCTCAAGCAGGCATTTCTAGCCGCCCATAGTCGGTGTTGGTGGTAGGCAACGGCTAGAGGTGCAGGGCATGCGATGGCGGGAGGAAATTACCGATCGCAGACGGCAGGGAGAGAAATCGAAGAAGGGTGAGGAGAGAAAGCTGGACGAGGCGCGAGTGCACACATGCGAGAGGATGACGACACCGATGCTACGTTGATAGAGTTCATGACCATCATGATGGATATGAATGGCGAGAAGGCCTCGCCCGTCTTGTCAGCCCGCCTGTTGTTGTCGGCTGTTTCGCCCAGGCGGCGTCTCGCTTGACCACGTAACACGCTCTCCAGATTGCTCATGAGTGCAGCTCGTCAGTTTTATGCACGGGAAGCTGCAAACCTGTCGGTTTTACGCATGGGAAGCTGCAAGTCCGACTCTCTCTCTCGTTGCCAATGGAAGTTCATGTATGTGTGTGTTTTTGTTGTTTTCGTGGTCGGGATATGAGCGACGCGCATTGCGCAATGAGATCGGTTTGGTCGGCTAGGGTGGTGACGAGCACATTCTCCATCCGCGCAACTGGCAGCAATAGTCGGCAGAGCCAATGATGTATAATCTCGGAGACGCAGTGTCAAGTAATGTCGTGGTACGGATTTTGACACTTTTAGCTCAGCGTGCTCAATGTACAAGCCTATTGTCTTTTTAGTGTAGTTGTAAGAGTGGTTGGGTAAGCCTTACAGTTTCGCACTTTTGGCGCACCGTGTGGATACTCCGTTTGAAGTTTCGCAAGGATGTCCCGAAAGTCAGCGCAACATGTTGTGTCTGTGGTGTGTAGGGGGAGCGCACGACACCCGAGAGCTTGTGGCGCTTTGGTGTTCCCTGCGGCCTTCGCAAGGGCTGCCACAGACCGTGCCCCGGGGAGCAGCTGGGCACAGCATCTGCGCCCCCGAGTCCGGAATCCGAGACCAGCTGGCCCAGCTACCGCTCTGCATCAATGATGTTTTTTGGCCTTCTTCGAAAGGAGCCCTCATGAATTTTTGTCGCCTGTGTCAGCAGATGCTCTTGCGGGCCGCGTCGGGAAGACTGCCTAGCCCGTCGACCCTCCCCCCGCCCTCCCCCGACGTCACGGCCTTCTCCTGACGCGGCCCCGCAGTGCCTTCCCAGAGGGTCGCAAGCTTCGATTTGGGATGCTGACTTTCCATCTTGCAGAACATCTTACAGGATGGAGGGGAAAAGGGCTTCCAGAATGGAGGTCGAACCTCCGTTTTGAAGGGTTTCGATCCCCTGGGGCTTTCTGGCGGTCACGGGGCCCGAAACGGACCTCCGGACTCTGGGTGCCCAGGTGGATTGATCGTTTCAATGGGGTCTCGACCCCGTCCTCGGTGGCACTTGTTCGTCCCCGATCCATTTCTGATGGCCCTGGGGCTGCCACGAAGCCGACATCGAGTGACAAACACCAGGATCGAAAGAGTCAATCCTTCGGACGTCTAGGTTTCGTTTCGCCGAACCTGAGGTCACCACCCGCGGCTAATTACACGTGAGAGTGGCCCTTGCCGGAGTGACCCGTGGTGCGCGGTTTTCGGGGGGCGCGGGGGGGGGGGGGCTACACCCAGGCACGCAGGCCGCCACTGCCGCATCGCAAGCAACGATCGGCAAGTCGTGCACCAAAGGTCGCTCTTTCCGCTGGCCACTTGCGTCCCCAGGTCTCTGGCGCTTCGATACTTTTCATGTCTGGGCCCACAGACCTCTCGGCCCCTTCCCTCAGGGCCGGCTTTTCCATCCCGAGCCTTCCTTGAGGCGACCCTGCGGCCCGAAACCGCACACTGCGGCAGGCCAGCTGCTTTGAGTTTTCCGATGCGCGTGTTCGTTACCCCCCCCGTCTTCCTTGCTCCGCGGCCGCCCTCCTTCCCTTCCATTGATAGTGTCGGTGCGCAGTGAGCCCCGTCGTGTCCCGGCTGTTGCCACCCAATGCCTCGTGCCTTCGTCGCCGCGGACTGAAGAAGGGTTGTCTGATGCGCCGAACGCCTGTGTACTCCGAGTTTCTTAATAAGCGTCGGGGGGGCGTCACCCCCGCGGACAGACCCACATCGACCCCCGTCGCGGGCAGCCACCGCGCGCCCAAGGCGCTCCGACCCCCGTCGCGGCGCGACGACGAGGCGAGGTTGACCCCCCGTCGGAGGGGTACCCCCCACGCTTCTTAAGAAACCCAGAGTACAGTCAAGACGCCGGAAGAAGGCCCACTTCGGGCTCAGGAGGGTCTGTCTGGTTTTCGGGCCGTTCCTCAGATCTGGTTCGCGGAGCCTCTTCGTGACCGAGGCTCTCCGTGGCCAGAAATGCCCTCTCCGAGGCTCTCCATGCATGCATTTCACACATGAGCATATCAATATATGACGTGTGTGTATATATAGATATGTGTGTATATAGAAAAAGAGAGAGAGAGAGAGAGAGAGAGAGAGAGAGAGAGAGGGGCCACGGCCTCGCCCGCCCAAGCCTTAGAAAGGCCCGGAGGATGCTCCGCTTGGTGGCTTGCTCGCTCGCTCGCCCCCCTGGGCTCCTGATCCAGCGGCCCTCCTGGTCGCACGATGGCTGCCGCCGATGCCCCCGCGCAGTCCGCGAGGGCAGGCGCGGCCGGGAGCGGCGTCCCGCCGGTCGCGCGCGCCGCAGCCCTCGCGCTTGCCGCTGCCCAGCATCAAGGCCCGCCAGTCGCGCGCGCGCGCCGCGGCCCAGCTTCCGCGCCCGGGTCGATGGTCTTCAGGACGTGTGTCAGCGCAGACACCACCCTTGGCGCGGGAAAAGGCCCGCTTACGAGCTCGACGCAGTGTCATGGCAGGAACTGCAGTATACCATTTCACGCGCCCATCAGGGCCAGCGGCTGTGCGAAAGAAAGACGCGTGTTAGCCCAATGTGCGTTGATCCCGTTCAGCTCCGCCGATCGCAGGAAGCCTGTGGCGCCCCTCGTTGCACCGCCTGCGTCGTATTGAAGGGCGTCGGTGGACCAGCACACGTCGGTGCTAACACACATTCTGAGGATCATCGACCGTTCCGACGCTGGCCCAGACCTCCGAGGATATCTGTTTTTCAACCCGTGGGCCCCTGGCACCTGGCAGGGGCAACGTTAGGGTTAAGTCGGACCTGTCCCTCTACAGGGAGAATATTCAAAAATAGCAGGGGGGAGGCATCGACCCCCCCAATCTCCCGATAGCCCGACCCGCCCAGGACCGTGCGGATTCGCTATCGAGGGCCTATCACCGATCTATCGTCGGTGTGTCGCTGACTCCAGCTCGATGCATCCCCTCCCGAGCTGGTCTCCCCCTGACGTTGCCCCTCACCGTGCTGGATCAGGATCAGGAGCCTGCAAGATGGGCCTCGGAAAAAAATAGCGAACACTCATGCCACATTCATCTGTCAACGCCTCCCCCTCCCCTCAATGTTCAAACTTGGCGGTGGGTCTGATGAGTTGCACCTCGACTGCAGTCTCTCCCGCGCGTGCCAACTTTGAGTTTGGGGAGGGGAAGTGTTCAGTAATTGGAAAGAGCTCATTCTGTGGTCGCTTAGAGGGGGGGTGTTGGAACCGGACCCTCCCCCCTCCTCTGGATGGAGGGGGGGGAGTTTCGAACCCCCCCCTCCCGTGACGCAGGTGGCGGGTTCAAACCCCCCCCCCTGCGTCCCCTCTCCTGCGGCCGGCGCTTGCGTCGGCGGCGGCTGGCGACGGCGGCGGGGACGACGATTTCCGTTTCTGGGCCGGCGCCTGCGGCGGCGGGCGGCGGTGGCGGGGAGCGTCGACGAGGACGACGGTGGTGGTGGTGGTGGTGGTGGTGGGTTGTGGTGGTGGTGGTGGCGGTGGAGGTGGTTGTGGTGGTGGTGGTGGTGTGGTGGTTTGTTGTGGTGGTGGTTGGTGGCGGTGGGTGGTGGTGGTGGTGGTGGTTTGGTGGTGGTGTGGTGGTGGTTTGTGGTGGTGGTCGTGGTGGTCGTGGTGTTGGTGGTGGTGGGTTGTGGTTGGTGGTGGTGGTTTGGTGGTGGGGTGGTGGTGGTTTGTGGTGGTGGTGGTGATGGTGGGTTATTGCTGTGGTGGTGGTTTGTGGAGGTGGTGCTGGTGGTTGTGGTGGTGGTGGCGGTGGTGGTGGTGTGGTGGTTTGTGGTTGTGGTGGGTTGTGCTGCTGGTAGTGGTGGTGGTTGTGGCTGGCGGTGGTGGTGGTGGTGTGGTAGATTGTGGTGGTGGCTGTAGTGGTGGTGGGTTTTTGTAGTGGTGGTGATGGTGAGTTGTGGTGGTGGTGGTGGTGGTGGTGGTGGTAGTGGTGGTTGCGGTGGTGTGGTGGTGGTTTGTGGTGGTGGTGGTGGGCTATGGTGGGGGCGGTGGTTTGTGGACGTTTGTTGTGGTGATGGTGGTGGCGGCGGTGGTGGTGGTGGTGGTGTGGTGGTTTGTGGTGGTGGCGGTGGGTTGTGCTGCTGGTAGTGGTTGTGGTGGTGGTGGTGGTGGTGTGGTAGATTGTGGAGGTGTGGTAGATTGTGGTGGTGGTGGTAGTGGTGGCGGGTTTTTGTGGTGGTGGTGGTGGTGATGAGGAGTTGTGGTGGTGGTTGTGGTGGGGTGGTGGCTGTGGTGGTGGTGGTTGTGTGGTGCTGTTGGTGGTGGTGGTGGTGGTGGGTTGAGGCGGTGGTGGTGATGGTAGTTGTGGTGGTGGTGGTAGCGGTGGTAATCGTCGTTGCGTCCCCGCCGTCGCCGGCGCCAGCGCTGGCGCTGCTGGCCGCCGCCAGCGCCAGCGCCGGCGCGAGGGGGGGGGGGGTTTGAACCCCCACCCCTGAGGTGCCTCTGGTCATCGTCGCTGCGTCCCCGCCGTGGGCGCTGCTGGTGGCCGCCAGCGCCGGCGCCGACGCCGGCGCCGAGGGGGGGGGCGGTCGGGAGGGGGGGGTGGTGTGGGGGGGAGGGGGGTCCCCCTGGTTTTGATCGACGGCGCCGAGTGTTGGGGGGGGGCCCACCCCTCGGTGTGAAACGCGCCGCCGAATGTTCCCAAGGCGAGCGCCCGTGAAACGTGTTCTCTCAGTAATTGCTTCCCTCTACCGGATGGATCGTCATCGACAGAGCAATGCCCCAACCCCCCACCTCGGGAAAGGGCGAGTCAGCTTTCTCAGCGTACCCCCCCTCGAGGTGGGGATCGGCGCCGCGAGGCCCGAAGGAAGCGGCTCCCATCACTACCTAGGGAGGGGTGGATCGGCCAGGGATTCCAAGATGGGTGTGGGGATTGTCTTCTTTGTCCAGAATGGAGATCCGACCACAATTCTGGAGGCCCCTTCCGCCCATCCTGGATATTGCTCCAACGTGGAGGGCCCAAACTCCATAGGTATGGTGTTTTTCGATCATCTGGTCTCGACCCCTCCACCTCCCCATCCCTGGCAGCCCTTCATATCGGTGGCCCCTCGCCTGGGGCCCGAACAGGTGTCCCCCGTGAGCCCGCAGCTGCAGGAGAGAGGAGGGGAGAGCGCCAGGATTGAGACGACCGATCTTCCGGAGGTCTGGGGACCCCGCCGCGCCTGGTCGACCGCGCGGGCTCGCGATGGCGGACGTGCTCGAAAGCGCCCCGCCGGGGCCTGCGCTGCAGCCCCCGATCGCCGGCGCGGTCCCGCTCGCGGCGGTCGCGCGCGGAGCCGCTCGCAGGGCCGCATCCGCTCGCACGGCCCGAGTCGCCCGCAGGACCAGGCAGGCCTTGAGGGTGCTCTGTGTGGCACGCGCCGCCGACGAGGCATCAGCTGGCCACCTCACCGGACCTGGCCAGGCCCATCCTGGGCACAGGATGGGTGTGCACGCCCTCCTGGCTTGACCAGGGAGGCGAAGACACCGATCCTGGGCCCAGGACCGGCCCGGCCAGGCCCGGTGAGGTGGCCAGCTGATGCCCCCCCGACTCCCCCTCCCCCGCTTCCACGGGGGAGGCTTCAAGCGAAACGCACACCCGAGGGGTCCATCCGCAAACCTTCGGCTCGGGGAGTGCACACTGCCAGTGTGCACCCCCCGAGCCGAAGGCTTGGAAGGCTGGCATTAAGGCGGGCATCTCCCCATACAGGGGGGATTTGGGGGTATTTTTTGGGGTATTTTGGGGGTGTTTTTAGTTTTCGTCCCAAATCCACCTGTAGGAGGACATGCCCGACCTAAGGCTGGCAGCTCGCGCGGCCAGGGCCGCTCGACCACTCCCGCGCGATCGGGCAGCCTTCCGTCGTTCCCCGGGGCGACGCTGGGCCTCCAGGGGCCGCTTCCCGGCGGCGGCCCGAGTGGCAGCACCCGCAGGCCGAAAACGGCCAAGGTGAGGGGAGGAGTTCTCGTGCTGACGTGTTCGGGACGTCGGAGGTCGAGGGGGGCCCTGCCGTCCGATCGGCGGCCGCGACGGGCGAGCCGAGCCTGGCCAGCCAAGGCCTCCGATGGGCCCCCTTGTCCTGCTGGTTCCTTTTTCCGAATGGCACGGGGGGTCGTCGACCGCTGGGGCCCCCAGGGCCGGCCGGTCGGCCAGCCCTGTGGAGTAGAACCAGCCAGGAGATGATTATAGGTGAAAGGTGGGACAGACAGGAGGAGGGGAAGGAAAGGAGAGACGATCACATCATACGTAAATACAACTGGAGAATTGAGGGAGGGATCTGGACGGCAGCGTGGCGTGGCTGTGAGCACGTGTGGTGCAGCCTAGAGCCCGTCGGCCCCTCGTGTAGGTCCCCCTTCATGTCGGGACGACCAACATGGGTACGGAAATAATGGGTACAATGCCCAACAGCAGTTCTTGCTCATTTTGAACAGGACTCGCTGTCCACGCCGCCGCGGCCTGTGTCCATTTGGGACACAAGGCCGCCTGCCCAACAGCGGCCGCTGTTGGTTCGGGACAACATTTGCTGTTGGGCATTGTGCCCATTGTTTCCGTACCCATTTCGGGCGTCCAAATCATTCGGGTCGCGTGGCCCTCTTGGACCACCGCCCAAGCCAACGTCCGCATCGTATTCTTCGACCAGTGCATGCTCGAGCAGATAGCCTGCAAACCCACGAGCTTACTGGGGGCTGGAGAAAAGGGCCCACCTGCCCGCATCTTCGGGAAGCCCAACAGATGCAGATGCAACCACTGGCACGGGGCCCCATCCAACACCACTTGGGCGTCACGAGGGCGGCACATGGCGCAGCTCCGCCGCCAAGATCTACCCCGCGGAGCTCAACAAGATACTGGCAGCAGCGCTATCCGAGGCCATCCGATCGAGATGGTCAACAACGCCAACGACCGACGAGTGGAACATCGAGGACAGCCACCCCGCCTTCTACACACCACTCGACCCGTACGTCGACTTCAGACGCAGCACGGATTGCATGGCCCACCGTCTTGTTCTGCAATCATGACCTGTACCAGGACCAGAGAGCACCAGGGACCAGGAGGATATCGGGGACAATGTGACGGCTTTGACGGACGACAAAATCGACCACATCAACGCCGAGATCAGCGACACCGCTTCCTCCTCGGTATATCTGATCGGTGTTTGGGGGACTAACTGGCCAACTGTGCGGCCCACGCAACTCGGAGCAAGTCCCTGGATATTCTCTACCACAACTAAAACTTGAGCTACGTCTACCAGGGCTTCTCGCACGCCTGAACCGAGAGGAGGCTGCCCCTCCAGCCGAATATGTAGCTGAACGGATGCAACCAGGACCCTGCAAAAGAGCGCATCTACGCCAGCATCCCCCAAGACCCACCCTGCTCGCCCCCCGCATTCCCTAAGCGTCGACGCAGACACATGGCTCGAGTAAGCGGATGCAACTACAGAATCCGCCACCCGAGCACCTACAATTCGTCATGGATCAGCCCGAAATGGAGCCGCCCGTCGACCTATCTCAGGACCGACAGCCTGGCGGCGGAATCGAACCATGCATCGCCACCATCGACTACAGGATCTTCGCTCTCATTCCGGAGATCACGTTCTCGAACCATTTCAATTTCAACATCGCAGAAGGGCAAGAAGATTGGGCGGCAAGCAGCGCGGAACGGGCACAGCAACTCCAACTCGGACAACGTGACATCGCCTCTAGCGCAGCGGCCGAATTCCAACGGAAGGACCAGCCGAGGGTGCTCCGCGGACAAAACATGCGACCTGGTATCGAGCTTCTCGACATGCCACCAGCCGACGCACGCCTCGACCCGGCATTCACAGCACCAGCAGCGCGGGTCCCCGACCGCGCACAAGAGGGGATGCAGTCCGAGACCTTCACGAAAGAATGCATCTACGCGTCCCTGGAGCTCGGACAAGCCTTCATCCCAACCAACATCCTGAGAGGATGGATGAAAACCTTGTACGTGCACCGCTGCGCGCTCACCTACCTGGCCGCTACCAACCGTGGCTGTAAGAGGGCCACTGCAGAGAAAGCAGAAACCGCAACGCGCGAGTTCTTCAACGGGAGTGTGTCCGCCATCAACACCGACCACATGTACCGATATTACACGGCAAGACCGACCCCCGTACCTTACTACAGACAAGCGGCAGGGGCACGAACCTGAGAGGACAGCGGCCGAATCGACACGTGCAGACGAGCACCGATCACCGCGCTCCCATGGGAGCGGGCCAAGGATATGGCGGAGAAGAACCTCATCTACCTGGTCCCGCCACAGATGGGCCCGCGAGGAGCGGTGATGGACGACGTCGACCAGATCCATTGGGTCTTGACTGCACAGGCGCGAAAAAGGGCAGACCTACAGGACGCAGAACGTAAGACCATCCACTCGGACACCCATGACGCATCGTACCTCCCCCATGCCACCGACCAGAACAGCAACGTGCAGGAACCGAAGGGAGTGCTACCACTTCTCCTCTGCCTGACCGACACCCAGACCACAATGGGGGCCAAGGCTTTGCACCCACGCAGTGACAACTTGACATTCGAGCAGAGCAGCTCCCACGTGACACCGCACGCGCGGGCAGGTCTCCACGCCGCAATCAGAGGCGATTTCGATCATCATCGTGGGTTCCTACGGGGCGTTCTTGCCAACATGGACCACATGTGACGTGCCACATCGTCGATGCGCCATAAGTGGGTCCCTGAATGGCTTTCTCACCCACGGCGCCTCCGAAGGCTCTACCAACCTCCACTCCTTACTGGCTCACCCCCCTGCAGCCCCGTCTCCCCGAACTTTTACCCACCAGACCTCTTCAACCCCCTCCTTTCGTGGTGCGGGGAGTGTCGGTTATAGGTTTGTGGGACGGGGGTGTGGAACGTCCTACCGCGGGCTGACCTAGCAAGGGCTAGGTCGGCCGTGGCCGCAACCAGCACCGCTTGTAGCCACACCCTCAGCACTTCACTCTCTCACCGATCACCTTTAAGCTTCAGGCAGACGCAGCCGCCTGCTGCCTGCGCAGCGACTAAGGGAGGCTGTTTGGAGGGGTATTTACCGAGGGTGGGGGACTACAAACCTACAGTGAACCACCGCCACGGGTGGCATAAACCACCCCCGAGCACGGTGGACCCCTCCCCAAACGACCAACATTCCCATGATCTGGGCACCCAACTCCGGCTTCGGCGGGGGAGGGTACCAGTCATGGGGATGGTGGACGTTTCGGGGGGGTCTTATGCACAGGGGATGAGGCCTTTATGCCATCCACCTTGGCGAGAGTGGCCTCAGCCACTCTCGGTGAGAGTGGGAGGATCCGCCACCGCCTGGAGGGCACAAACCTCCATTCCGCTGTGGACCCCCCCAGGCGGCCCCAGGTCCAATGTGCTGGGAACCCGACGTTGATTCTTCAGGCGAAGGATCCCGCCTTTGACCCCGGGAACGTCCGTGGGGGTTCCTACGAGCTGAGGGAAAGGCCCTCGTGCCCCCCCCGCCAGCGAGAGTGGAGAGGCGCCGCCACCGCCACACAGCCAGCCTGCAGCGGCACCGCCAGCCGCCTCCATACTTGCATTGGTGAATGCTGCCCATTTCTCGAGCCTCAGCAGGCCACCGGCCAACGCCCGACTTACCTTTGCGCCGCCTAGCGCCGCTGCTGCCCCCTCGCGTCATTTTTCGCCGACGTCAGCTTCCTTCGTTTCAACTGGCCTCTCCCTTGCCCCCACAGTCGCCGTTGGCCGCCAGGGCCACCCATGCTCACCATCAGGGCTGAGCAGGACTTTCCAGCACATCTAGTCACCAGGGCTATATAGGGCTACAACCTGCTCCCGCCACGAGCCCAGCTCAGCAGGCTAGCTGCCATCCCCATCCCTCAGATCAATCAGGGCACCTCTACGGAGGGGGACGCTAGGCACCCTCTTGGGCGGTGGTCCAAGTGGGCCACGCGACCCGAACGAGGGGGGACCCACACGAGGGGCCTACGGGGTCCAGCATACGCCACGCTCACTCACAGACATGCCACGCTGCCGTTCAGATCATTTTCTCCTTTTCGTTCCCCTGATGTTTTTGTATGATGTGATCGTCTCTCCTTGCCTTCCCCTTCTTCCTGTGTGTCCCACCCTTTACCCACAATCATACCCTAGTCTGTTCTACTCCCCCAGTGCTGGCCGACCGGCCAGCCCAGGGGGAAGCTGCAGCGTTCGACGAAGCCACTTGCCATTAGGAACAAGGAGGAGGAGGAGGAGGATGA